GCTGGCCGGGCCGCCACCGCCACCGCCCCCGGCCGGCGGCGCCAAGCCCTGCTCCAAAACTTTCGGCACCATGCACGAGCTGGTGAACCACGTCACGGTGGAGCACGTGGGCGGCCCGGAGCAAAGCAGCCACGTCTGCTTCTGGGAGGACTGTCCACGCGAAGGCAAGCCCTTCAAGGCCAAATACAAGCTCATCAACCACATCCGCGTGCACACTGGCGAGAAGCCCTTCCCCTGCCCCTTCCCGGGCTGCGGCAAGGTCTTTGCACGCTCTGAAAACCTCAAGATCCACAAGCGCACTCATACAGGTGGGTGTCTGTCCCCGGCCGCGCCGCCGCCGCCTCCTCCTGCGCCGCCGCCGCTTCCGCCGCTGCTTCTCCTCCTGCTCCTGCTCGCCTTAATTTTTCCCTCCTTCTGCTGCTTCTCTTCGCATACGTATAACCCGGACATGTGACTTCTTTTTTTTCTCTCCCCCTTTTTTCTATGAATAAGTAATTCGATAGCACACACAGGCCCCGCGCAGGCTTCCCACACGGCGGAGTCTCCAGCGCGCCCTCAGCCCCTCGGCCGGGACCGGCAACGCGCTCCAGCCGCCGCCGCCGCCGCCTCCCCGGAGCAGAAGCAGCAGCAGCAGGAGCAGGAAGGCGCCCAGGACGGTCGGCAGCCCCCATCCGCCCGGCCCCGGGAGGTCGGGGAGGGCCACGGGGAATCAGGGCCAGGGCCGGAGTCGCCCCTGCGGTGCAGATCGCAGACCCTGCGCGGTAGCTGCACCACGGAAAGCGGGGGGGTGGGAAGGGCGCGTGGGATCTGCTACGGTGTAGGGGCCGCGAGTTGTGGACGGTCGGAGGGCGGGGGTCTAGTGCCTCCTGGGATGGGTGCGGATGTCAAGAGGAGCCCGCCCTCTGGCCCCCGAGACCTCCGCTCAGTCACACCCCACTCACACACCCCTCTCCTAACACCTCCACGTACATGGTCCGAGACCAGTTCACACACACTCCTGCCCGCCTCCTGCACCCCATTTCTGCGACACCCACACGCCCTCATACTTCATATGCACCCTCACTTCATTTACACACCCGCAGTCACACACGCGCTGTCACACAGCGATCACACGCATAGACTTCCCACGCACCCTCGAGTGTGCTGGATGCTGGAGAATTGGTTTTTGTCCTTTTAAGGAAGGTTCTAGTTGGAGGAAGATGAGACCTCTCGTGGTCGCTGAGGCCTAACCCGCCGTGGAACGTGGGGGTGCGGAGTCCCCAGCGCCGTGGGGACCCTCCCACCCCACTCCAAGCTCTGCCTTTGGCGCTGCCGTGGCCCGGTGAGGGTGGCTGCAGCATGCGGCGGCGGTTTAGCCCCTTAGGGTCGTGTGCCCTCTTTGAACCAAGGAGTTCCTCGGGCGGTAGAGCTGCTGAGCGCGAGCATAGCCGGGATTTATAGAGACAGACAATATTACCCCTCGGAGGACACTTAAGTAACTGGAGTTTACATTCAGTGATCACTTGGCTGATTTATCGGTGCGGTGGCGGCGACGAGGAGGCAGCCCGGGGCGTGGGCCGCGACCCGGCCAGCGGCAGTCGGCGGGTGTTAGGGGTGTGTACGACTTATTCTATGTGTCCAGGAGCAGCCGCATCCAGGTGGCCCCAGGCTGGCGCTCCAGGCCTTGCTCCTATGGACTGACACCTCACAGGCCTCCCATGTGGACCTGCAGAAGACCGGCTGAGGAGCACGTTGTCCCTTGAGCCTTGTGTTTTTCTAATCCAGATCAATCCACCTTAATGGCTTTTCCAAAAGGAAACTTCCCACAAGGCTCTTATAAAAACGCCATGGCCCACTAAGCCATCTGCTTGCTCGGTGCCCAGTACTGGGAAGTCCCCGCCCTAACCGAGTTCCCAAAAGGAGGCCCTAAATGAGGCGCATGAGGCCTCCACCCCTCTCCTTCCCTGGCCTCTGGAGGGGAGTGGACCTTCCTTCCCTGACCCTCTGCCGGGACCCCACAGCACTGAACAGATTTTGCTCCATGAGAGAGTGGGGGTGGGGGGCAGGGGACCGGTGGCTGGTTTTCTGGTTCCAAGTAGTGAGAATGATAGAATTTCCTGCTGCTAGCGTGTACCCCACCAGGAAAAGCATGCAGGGATTCCATACACACCCCAACCCAGGATGCTGGCGACTCCCAGTCCAACTCAAACCCGCACCTGGCCTGGTGGGCTGTCCTTGGGTCCTCAGCCATTGGACATCGTGTCTAGAGAGGGACAGTTGTGGACTTCTTTCTCTCCCTAGTATAGACTTCTCTCCTATTGGGGGGTTATCAGGACCCCAGAACAGATTGGTCAAAAGGACTAATCCCCAGGTCACTCCTGAAGTCTTCTGACCTGACCTGTTTGCCTTCAATTGGGTTTATGATCTGCCTCCCAGCCCAATCCTAGAGGAAGCTGACAAGCCCTGAGTGATATTCACAACTCGATTTCCTTTCTGTTACCATCCCACAGGCACCAAATCTCCAAAACTCTGTAAATAGTTAAATTCTGATGTGACTCCTCTGTCAGAATCTGGAATGTAAACACTGAGGTCTCTCAGTCTTTCTATTTAGGGGGAATTTACTCAGCTCCTGTGGGCCCCCTGAACAACACCAGGCCCTTCTAATACATTTCCTTTTTCTTCTGCTTTATCCCTCCACCTTTCCTTTATCCCTGATTTCCAACTTTCTTTCCACTTCCTCTCTCCCTTTACTGACTTTTACTGCTTCTCTTTCTTGTGAGTAGTGGAGGGACTAGCAATGTTCAAAGCTTTACTTTTCACAATCCGGGTTATGTAAGTTGGGCAGAAACCTAAGAATTCTAAACAACATTGACAAGTGCATAGAATGAATAAAACCACATAAAGCCTCCCTATTGAAGAAGGTTGATTATCTTATTTTGTTTGTTTCGTTAAAAAAAAAAGACTGCTATTTTAAATTAGTATTATCTCCAACTTAAAATGTAATACAAAAATCACTGATGTTTTGGTAGAAAGGAATTAGCTTTGTTTTTGCTGTGGCTCATCTCCAAAGAATTTTTAAAGGTTGTGAGTTCTCTGTTTTCCTGCTATTTATAGGTTAAGAGTTGTATTCCAATAATGTCTAATTTCATTTTTAAACAAGGATAGGTAGGGAAAGTTATTATTTCAGTCTTCTGGATATTTTCAGATGTGTTAACATATTCTGGCATTGAAGCAGTGGCCATTGGTGAAATATTTTTTTAAAACAACAAACACATATTTGTGTGGAGGGAATAAGATTCACCACAGAAATGTATGTGCATTAAACCGATTCTTAATGGTTTTTCTTTTTAAAAATAAGTTATCCAAAACAAAGAAAGATGCCCTACCTCGTATGTCACCAAAGTAGCTGGTGATCTTTTTAGATCATCTGAATAATGTCAGAGGAAAATATTATGAAAGAATATGTGATGACTTGTTCAATTATGGATTCAAATTTATAAGTTCATAGATACGAAGGTGTGAGAGAGAGCCCTGCTATGTTGTCAGTGACGTCTTCCCTTTTGTTTTTCAACCCCCAGGAGCAGTGGTTAAATTTTTCTGGTTGTGTTATTAAGCATCTCTACTTTTTGGACTAGTGGCCTCGTGTTTAAGTCATAGTGTGCCTGGTATGGTCAGACCAGCTTAGGGGTGACAGGCCAAAGACCCTGATTTTTTTTTTTCAGTGGTTTTAATGAATAAGTGATGGAGAAAGCTGTTAGAATAAGTGTACTAAAGGCCTAAGGTAAATGACAGATTGTGTGCCGAGGCTGTGGTCTTTGCCCACATGTGATCAGATTCTGTTCTGCCACACTGTCCAGCACCCTGCAAGTTGTGGGGGAAGCTGGCAGAATGCGGAGACCAGCAGCTTATTCTCTGCCCAGCCAGCCCTGCAAAAGCTGGTGGTGGGATTGTGTTTCACAAGTGCCTTTATTTCTAAAGGGAGAATGTTGGATTATTTCCTTTCCTTTCCTAACTCCACATCCTCTCCTGCTGCTCCTTCCCAGCAATGAAATTCTGGGAACATCTGGAACAAAGTGCCATTATCATCATTTTATTGTATCCCCAGCTTACTTTTAATGTTATATGTTTATCTTTCTTCCATTTTTCTTGTTCTCACCTCCACCCATGACTCTGAGAGTATCTTTTTATCAGTGTTTATCTTGATAGAGGATTTTCTACTTGTATATTTGAGTATCCCGACCCTGAGATGAATGAGGTTGTTATGAGGGCCCAGGTGGGCTTCAGTGGTACATCCTGGGCCTTGCTTCAACCATGGGCATTTCACCCTGACCCCTGTAGTACCTAGGGGGCTGGCATCTGGCCTCTCAAAATCCAGATCCAAGCAGAACCTCCAGGCAAGTGGGCCCAGGCCAGTCCTTGCAGCACCTCTTCTCCTTTGCATCTTGGAATATAGGAATTAGGAATAGAAATAAGGCTGGGTGTTGGTCTTTAGGAGAATGGGAAACTCCATCCCCAGTTCTGCTCCAAGATTTCTTTCAAGCTAGTCTCTGGAAAGCCATTGTTAACCTTTCCTGTGTTTCCTTGCAGGGGAAAAGCCTTTCAAATGTGAATTCGATGGTTGTGATAGGAAGTTTGCCAATAGCAGTGATCGAAAGAAACATTCCCATGTCCATACCAGTGACAAGCCCTACTACTGCAAGATCCGAGGCTGTGACAAATCCTACACTCACCCGAGTTCTCTGAGGAAGCACATGAAGATTCACTGCAAGTCTCCCCCACCTTCTCCAGGAGCCCTTGGTTACTCATCAGTGGGGACTCCGGTGGGTGCCCCCTTGTCCCCTGTGCTGGACCCAGCCAGGAGTCGCTCTAGCACTCTGTCCCCTCAGGTGACCAACCTCAATGAGTGGTACGTTTGCCAGGCCAGTGGGGCCCCCAGCCACCTCCACACACCTTCCAGCAATGGAACCACCTCTGAGTCTGAAGATGAGGAAATGTATGGGAACCCTGAAGTTGTGCGGACGATACATTAGAATTTATCATTATTAATAAGTGGGAGTCCTTGGACCATATCCTAACCTGAGACAATGCCGAGCCTGAGACAAACGTGTGACTCAGACTTGCTACTGGTCTAATTAGCCCTATTTATTCAGTATGAAACCCTATGGTGTTTGTACATTTAATTAATTTAATTAAGATATTTGGGCTTTTTTTTTCTTTCTTCTTAAAAAAGCAAACAAAAAACAACCAAGCTGGACTTGTACATTGCAGGGAGACAGGGCTGAGGGCGAATTGTACCAAGGAAAATGAATGGAGACATTAACCGAGATACACACTGCCGATACATATATATGTGTGTGCATATGTGTGTATATATCACACACATATATGCATGTATGTGTATATATTTAAAGGGGGGAGAAGATGAGCATTAAGTCAGAACTTCACACAGCAACCAGGCCCTCTGCGTTTCCCGGAGTGCCTCTTGAATGCCTTTGACACCGTAACGTAGGCTGCTTTTGAGCCTCCTTGTCAAGCCCTAATTCTGCAAAGGCCTCTTGATTGTAAACCACACACTTGCTGCATCGCCAACAGATCTTGGACTGTGCCTGTGTCCAAAAGTATTTGTAAAAGCCCTTTAAGTTCTAATATTTATAATTTTTAATTTTCATGCTTTTATTACTGATCTCATCTTAACATGATATTTTTATACAGGATTATTTCTTCAGAACCCTTCCTTGTGTGATTTTTAAAAAAAAGTGCAGCAACCTTAATCTATCTCCATGTATTGTGCTACTGTGATTGTTCAAGCAAAAGTGGAGAGAAGAAAAGCTGCTGCAAGAGACAACTGTGAAACTGTGATCTTTTATAAAATAGAAGAAATTCAAGTGCTTTCTTTTTCCTCTCTGGAGTTTTTTTTTTTCTTTTGTTTTTGTTTTGTTTTGTTTTTTTTTTAATCTGAAATCTCAGATGCTGCCTTCTTACTGTGTCCAAACTTCTTGTGTAATAAAGAGATTGTTTTGAGTATAAATTCTTTGGGATGCCAACATTGACAGTCAAGTCTGAGGAGGTGTGATGCCTTTTTTTTTTTTTTTTTGAAAGCTGTTGTTTTTGAAACGGGCCAACTCCTCTTTTATACTATTGTGTCAACCTTTAAAAAAAAAAAAGTCTCTATTTTTTACTGCCTAAATGCATTTGAGTGCATTTTATTCCACCTGAGTACTGAGCACCCAAACTCTCTTCTTGAAAATGATAATGTGAAATACATGACTTACATTGAAAGAGGGGAGGGAGTTGCTATACATATTAAAATTTTTAAAAGGTTTATAGTTACTACCAAACATTGATGAATGTGTGACCTTTGCCAGAGCTGTCAAGCTAGGATAAAAAAGGTCAAGGACCTAGGACAATAACTCTTAGTCAATTTATTTTCGGTTGGTACAACACATCTCCTGTGCAAAATGTAGTCCATCAGAAACATCATACAAATATACTAAAGAGCACTAATTTATCCTCAGAGACCCTGAAGACACCCCCTCCCCAGGGTTTGTAGAAATTTGTGTGCTGTGAGTGGTTGATGTAGTCTTGTCATTGTTAATAACTTGTATGTGAACACTTTTATTTGTACAGTTGAATTAATTTATTTTCAGACATTGTTTCCCCCCTTCCCTCCCACTCCCCGGAAGAGTTCAAAGCACACCAAAGAATTATATTATACATTTTGGTGAAAGATTATCATTTATGATTCATGGTTTATTTAAAAAAAAAAAGGAAAGGAAATGGAAAAATATATTTTTGAGCTTACTTGAATGAACAACGTAATGTAAAAACCAAGACTCTTCCTGCATGTCTTTTTTGCATTGTGTTGATGAGATTATATATAGTTTATAGATATATTACTAGTACAGTGCATGGTGCTGTCACTTGGAAAGCCTTTCAATGTTGTCCTCAGATTGTTACAGTAATTATGAATCATGCAGACCCTCCTTTATAAAGAAAAAGACCATAAAACTTGAATATAAAATAATTCTACATTTTAAAAGTTTATTTGATTTTCATATTAACCACTTTCAAAGTCCTTTCAAATAGAAAAATAAGGTATGGATTTTGGGGGGATAATTTATGTATTGTAAAATTATTAGGACAAAATATTCCTGATGTATAATGAGTTGTTTTATTTATACAACTTTTTCAATGGTAGTTTGCACTATTCTTTATTATGCTACAGGTTTATTTATTATGAAACAAAGGAATATGTATTTTATGTATTTGCCATGCATAGGTTAACTCTGCCACAGATTTATTGGTTCCTGATACACCTAAAATAAAAGCTTAAAATGTGTACCTCCAATAGAAAGAAAGCAAGAATGACTATAAAGTAAGAAATGTAATAAAGGTATTCTTCCTATGTATTGCTACATTTTACCTAATGGCATATCTCTGTCATTCTTTTCAAACAGAACAGTTGCTGAGATAGTGAACATTATAGTTTTCCTCCTTTGATCTGTTAGCCTCCCTCACCCCCAAATATGTTTTTACAGCTTGGTTTAACTTACAGTTTAATCTAGAAAATACCAGATATTTATGGAAACTAATCCCTGCAGGTTGTACCTACAGTAGCACACACACCTCAGGGGTTACTGCATTAATTTGTTAAAGTTAGTAATATACATGGTGATTCAACTCAGTGAAAAGCTGAAAAGTGCATTTTAGCATTTCTTTGGTGCCTACCTTCTAAAGGGGGAACTAATGAAGAAAAAGAGGGAAGGACAGTGAGAAGCTTCCACACACAAAGGAAGATAAAGTAAGACAGTCTAGGAGATGCTATGGATGTGGGATGAATCTGAGTAGTGGCTAAGGAGTTCTCTCATAGGTCATGGGGGCCTCAAAATAGGACTTTATTGTCATTCATTTTAGAAATGGAGTAACTTACGCTCAGCATTGGGGGCAGGTGTTAAGGAGAAATTGGATTTTCTCATGGCAACAAAATATTCAAGTAGCTTAAATTAATGTATTTGCCTATGTACTTAACAAGCCTGGAGTTTTGTTATTATGCTAGTTGATACAAAACTGATAAAAGGCAAGTAGTTAAAAACAATCAGTAATGTCAATAAGCATTTCTCCAAAAGGTTATAGTGGCTTTTAAAAGTCAGGTTTGTTAAATGTAGTAAAGGTGAAACAGGTTGCCAAGAGCTGTTTAAGCCAGATGACAATAACCAGCACACGAAGGAGAAAAACACTGGTAAATGAGGGCTCCTATCAATGGGAAACTTATAGCTCTCTAATGAAGTTTCTTGTGAAAAGAAGGGTGACACAAAGCCACCAAGACATGAATCATTCATGGGAAATATAAAAGATAAAAGATATCTGACAATGAGCAGAACCTTGTATAGAGTGTATAAAACAAGTTTCCCCTTCTTATTTTCTGCTTTAAAACGCACAATCTCCCACTCCCAGCGTTCTCTGTCCAGTCTATAGAGTTAAAATTGACCACTGCTCGTCCTGCGCCACTTCAAAGTAATTTAGTCCAGAACGGAAGGCTTGGCGCTTGGACAATCTTCATGGTGTGTTAAGATTTCTATGGCAATTGGCAAGCAAGACGTTCCCATCTGAATATGTCTCAAAGAAAGCCACTTATTGACACTAAGTTGGCTATCATCAAAGACTTCATCTTCCCTAGGCAAGATGTGGCTCCGGCAAACACTGTTTAAATCATATACCTTTGTTTTGCTGGTTAGAAGAATCTTCAATCACGTGATTATTTGTTGATTGTGTACATATTTTCCCCCATTCAGATGTTCTTGCAGAAAGCTAATGCTCCTAAAATCTAAGGTACTTAGGAAGACCTCAAGGGTGGAAATTCTATACTCTTGAGCAGTAGGAGATGGCCATACAAGTGTGGTCACATTGGGGACTGGAGGAAAAGAGGCCCACTCTCCTCAAAAGCTGAGCCCAACTGTCTGCAGACATCATATTTGTCCTGATATCTTTCATTTTGTGGAAGCTTTTGGAGACCACTGTGGTTTTTTTTCTATCATCTCTATCTATACTTGAAGTAGGAGAGATACTGGACATCAGTACTTGAAAATCCCAGTTTGGTTAGGAAGTACAACTGCTGGGGAGACAATCTGATCTCCCAAAGGATCACCTTCCACCAGGAAAGGAAGGCAGATCACAAGGTAAACAAAACAATCCCGCTTATTAATATTTCCATCCTGTCACCCCATGGCGGTACTAGGGGCTTGCCCATCCACCCATCGTGTACCAAAACACCTGACCCATGACCAAGGAAGCCTTCCAGGTCGGGAAGGACGGTGAAGGAGACCCACAGCGGAAAGCTCCCGTTGTTACCAGCACATTTCCTCCGTGAACAAAACTCTCAGAAATGCCCACATCCACGGCCACGCACAAACACTCCCGAGAGCACACATTCGCATACAACAGCAAGTGCCTAATCAGGCGGGGAGAAGCTCAAAGGCATGTTCTTTGAAATTCAAACTACTGCTTTTATGGTCCATGGGCGCAGAGCATCAGGATTGCTATGGCAATGGGCAGGGCCAGGGGAGTCGCTGGCAGTCGGTCCACGGCGATTCGAGACACTCTATTAAGATACAGTTGCAGTGACCTTTACTTTCATGCCAAGTTAGTCCAGTCAATTTTCATCTCATCAGAAATACATACACACGCACATGCACATACTTATATCTATTCGCTCTTTGGTGGAATCCCTCCTAGAACCTCCTAGCTTGGGAGAAAGGAGAGGGAAAGAATGGAGAGAGGAGAGAAAACCGAGTGGGGGTGGGGGGCGGGTGATGTCAGAGGGTGGGGGGAGAGGGGCAGGGGCGCCAGAGCCCCAGTTCCTCTTCCTTCTCTCCCCACCTAAGTACTTTTATTTGCAGAGCGATTGTTCTTTGTTTATTTAATACAAGTACTGTGTGAATGGTGAAAAATAAACATGATGAAAAATAACCAAACAGATGATTCCTCCGAGTGAAAAAGCCCGGACTTAATAAAAGTGCGAGGCAGTCACCGCTGAATGAGAAACCCTTTGAAGTGGAACTTATTATAGGAGGAATACTTTGGGGTTGCCTTAACGACGCCGCTGAATCGAAAGCGCTCGCCTTTGTCAGCGATTTGTTCTCCTTTGCTGGGGTGCCCGGAGAAATTACTTACATGGGCTGCCTTAACATGCAGCCTGCAAATCAGTAACTTTGCAGCTCAGACTTGCAGACGCCACTCGGCCACGGACAAAAAGAAGTCAGGGGGGAAACGCACCAACCTTTCACGCCGAGTCGTTGGGGATGGGGCGCACGGGCGTGTGGGGGGCGGCAGATAAGAAGTTGTATTACAACTGGCCCCCCTCACCCACCCGCGCTCCCCACCCCGGCTCCCTCTCTCTCACCCGAGCCCGAGCCTAGGGCTGTGGCCTGGGCCGTGGCGGGGAGGCCCGGGCTCCTCCAGGGCCCTCCAGCGAGGGGCGCTCTTGAGCACCCAGGCCGAGCTCGGACTTTCCCAGCAGTCTGGGCCATATTTAATAAGGGTCGTTTATCACCGAGGCTCTTTGAAGGGTCGCCTCCAGCCCTGTGCCCATTAGAAAGGCGAAGTGACATTTAAACTCGGTTTTCAAGGATCGAGGGGGATTTCATTGAAAAGGCAACTCGTTTGTCTTAGGGGCCTGGAAACAACCCCCTTCTCGCTCCTTTTGACCACATGGCATAACTCAAAAACAATAGTTCAAAAGTGAAATGGCATCGTGGTGTTCACTGGAGACAGGCCCCCATCTAGCACCAGAGAAAGGGTAGTCCGCAAGACAATGTGCTTTTTGTGTCCGACTCTGTCACAAGGATTGTGTTGTTTGCTTTGGAGGCTGCGCCTGTTATACTTTCCTGAAAGTACTTGTGTTAAACAAGAGTTATAAGTCATCCAAAACAACAAACATTTTGATTTTCTTTGCCTAAAGGGCTTTCCCTGGCTATGGGCACCGTGAAAAAATAATGTCCTCGCTGAGAAAGGAACACCAGTAGTAGAATTACAAGCGGGTGCATTAAATATTGAATGACACGGGAAAAAGAGCTTGTCGGGGGGCACTCAGCCTTAAAGTCTTTCTTCAACTTTGTCTTCGGTGGCTGCTGGACTATTTAAGATGGTATTAATTAAGGCAGCTTCTGATGCCGCCGAGCCGGCCGGCCCCTGGACCGCTCTCGGTCAATGGGCCTGTGTCCGGCCGCTCTGCTCACGCGTTGGCTGAGCCGAGTGCAAATGTCACTTCTCATTTGCAGGCTGAAGAGAAGTGCCCATCCTACACTGAGGGCAGCAGGGATGCAGTCGGCAGCAGGCGTTAAAGGGATACAAGGGACTAGATTGAGAGGAGGCGGAAACAAAATGCAAACAGCTGCCCTGGGCAGAGGAGGAGAGCGCGCCCGCGCGCACGGCTCCTGGCACGTTTTGGTGAACACCGCTTTGCAAATAACAGCCAGGCGGCACTCGCCGGGTTTGGGCGTCCCCCTCTCTTTCGTTGCTCCTGCGTGGGGAAAACTAAGACCCCAGCCTTGCAGAAATCCATTAGGCAGTCTGGCAGGGCGTTATTTTACAAAGGGACTCGCTTCTACAGAGAAGACAAAAGCTCGCTGCAAACAGGCTTCTTTGCTGACTTCCTCCTCCCTATGGTGGCCTCTTCACAGATCACAAACAAATAGAGCCTAAAGGACCGCAGCCAAGGATCTCCAGGTCCAGGTCCAATTTTACAGATGGCGAAACTGAGACTTTGAGCAAGTCTCAAAAAAGATTTACTTATTTATTTATCTATTGTGGTGCTGGAGATTGAACCCAGGGCCTTGTGCATGCAAGGCAAGCACTCTACCAACTGAACCATATTCCTAGCCCCTCAAAAAAAGATTTTTGCCAATATTTCCTGAGGATTCAAAGGTTGAGACCAAAGACCCAGGCAGGTCAACCCACAACCAGGCCAAAACTATCCTTTCCACACACACCCCCCCCCATTCCAAGTGTTTGATTCAAAATTGAATGGAAATTGAATTCAGCAGTTAGAAATTTTTTTAAAAATGTGCACAAAACACAACAACAATAAACTTACTGCCAAGTAACTGTGGCATAAATCAAATGCATGCTTTAAGAAACTCTAACTAGCAATTCTCGATGAGAAGAGACAAGACTTGGCTGGGTGGGGTGGAGGGGGCAGGGCATGCTGGCAGATTGATTTCTACATCCAGAAGCCCGGTGGGCACCCCTGTTTCCCCCTGTGTGGATTTCCAGCGGGATATAGGCCTTCTCTTTTACCACAAGGCCCCTTGCAGGTGTGCATGGGGGTAGGGGGCTGGGAGATGCAGTCAAATGCTCTTTCCTCTATAGGTGTGAATGATTTGGACCGTTGCTGCTGGTTCCAGGGTTCGCCTCCTTAACTCTAG